GGCCCTAGTCAAGGTGAATCTTTGATGTTTGGTATATAGACTTAGACATCAATTACGGTCCAAGTTAGATCATATAATAGAGACTTTGAGTAGCAAAAATTATAGTTCATATATTGTTTGCTCATTAGCAAGATACACAGGTTATAATTTGATGTTAGTGAACGTAGGGCATGATAATATTTTGATTTAATTCATTATAATATTTGGGGACCATACAATGAGATCTGATATAATGGATTTAAATATTTTTCTCAATTGTAAATGATTTCAGTAGATTTACATGGATATATTTGATGAAAACTAAAGCTGAGACCAGTCTTAATTTATAAAAATTATGTACTTGTAAAGACATGATTTCGTAGGGAAATCAAAATCAGCTGAATAGACAATGCCAATGAATTTCAAATGAGAGAACTCTATATTAAGAAGAGAATTATACACAAAAAAAGTTGTGTTGAAGCCCCATAGAAAAAATGATAAAGTTGAAAAAAAACATTAGGAGAGACTCAATATAGCCATAGCCTTAAAGTTTCAAAGTGGACTTGATTTAAAGTACTAGAGTGACTTTATTATGATAGCAGCGTATCTCATGAGTAGAACAGCCCTTTCTACGACCAACAATAACACCCCATTCGAGAAGTTGTATGGAACCAAACCTGATTAAATATTTGGGTGCATGACATTTATACCTGCTCTGGTTGACAGTAGATACAAATTTAATCCAATGGCAAAGAAGTGCATTTTTTTCAATATACAAGGGGTATAGGCTACTTGATCCAGAGACAAATATAATATTAATCTACAGGAATGTGAAGTTTTATGAAGATGTATTTCCTTGCAAAAGATTGAGAAACAACATTGAAATGAAGAAGAATCCATATAAGGGCACACACAAGTAGTGGATGTAGAGATTCTTATCTACATCAAGAACTTAAATGAGAAATATTTAACAACAACGAGACGCAATTATTATGAAACTAAAAATATAGTTTAGGAGAATAAAGCTGTATAACCATCAACTCAAGAAAGAATTGAAGAAATTGTTATTTAAAATGAAGATAAGGTTGAACAGAATCCACCAAGATGACAGTTAATAAGAATAAGGAGAATTCAATACAAATAAGGGATTATATGTACGAGTGGGTTGGTGACACAACTTTTAAGGTGAGAGAGTGTAATGATGAAGACATAAGTTCAGGAATAGTAATTCCAACAAGGTGTGTAATGGACATAAAAGATATTTGATGGCTGTGAATTCACATGCAGAATTGAAAACATATCAAGAAGCTTGTAAGGACTCTCACTGTGTGGATGCAATGAGAAGTGAAATCAAGGCTATGAAAGAGAACAAGATGTGGATAATCACATGCCTTCTCCTTAGAAAAAGGTCCATTAGATGTAAATAGGTATATAAAGTCAGGTATAATGTTGATGAGACACTTAAGAGTAAAAGGTCAGGCTGGTGGCACGAAAAGATTTTAAATCTAAATGAGGGATTATACTACTATGAAACTTTCTCACATGTAGCAGAAATTGTATCAATTTGTTAGATTCTCTCTTTGGTAGCCATATAAGGGTGGCATCTAAGGTAATTTGACATCAGCAATGCCTTCCTACATGGTGACTTAAATGAAGAAATATACATAGAGCTGCCACCAGTGTACCTAGGTAAAAGAAAGCGAAGAGAATGCAGATTATTCAAGAGTCTAAATTTTCAACCTTTATCATTAAATATGGATTCAACCAATCAAAACTTATTATAGTTATTTGTGAAAAAGGTGAAGATAACCTTACAAGAGTTTTGGTGTATGTGGATGATATAATCATCATAAGAAACAACAACTTAATTGATGAATTGAAGGAGGCAATGAACAAGGAATTCAATATCAACTATCTAGTAAATTTAAAGTATTGGGAACTGAGGTAGCTCGATTGAAAGGGAGATCCACATATGTCAATAGAAATATGCGTTAGTTTTGCTCAATGAGACTGACATGTTGAGAAATAGAGTTTCAAAATTTCCAATGGATTAGAATAATAAATTATTAAGAGAAGATAGTTAGCCCATTTCTGAACTAACAACATGTAGAAAATTAATTGAAAAACTTATGTATCTAACCATAACCAGAGTAGACATAGCTTACTTAATGCAATGTCTAATTCAATTTGTGGAAAATTTGAGGGATAAATACTTGGATGCAGCATAAAAATACTGAGGTACATAAAAGGAACACCAGGACGTGGATTGTTTTATTATATTGTATCAAAGTTGAAGTTGCATGCTTATAGTGACACTGATTGGGGAAGATGTTTGGAAACTAGAAAATCTATTGTCGGGTACTTCATTATGCTTGGTAATTTTTTATTATATTGGAAATCAAAGAAGTAAAGCATTATTTCTAAATCAGTAGCATAAGCCTAGTACATAGCTATAACAAGTGCATGTTGTGAGTTAACTTGGATAAGGTATCTTATAAATACTAAGGAAATTAATTGTTAGAGATAGAAGGAAGAGGTTAGAGAAACTAATGAGAAGACTCAATATTTTCTATTGTGGTTTTTGTAAAAAACTTTAAGTAAATGCCTATTTATAAACACTATTACAACTAGTAGAATTAATTATAACCATAAACAAATATAATAAATTTAATTTATAACTCACAACTTCTATTAAACCAAAAGATATATAAAGACTCTAATTTATAAAATTCAACTATTAACAAACTAATTAATTATATTCTAATTTGCAAATTAATTTTTAACATTAATAACTTCAGACTTGCAATTTTTCATTATGATAATAAAGCCACAATGCACATTGTGGCAAATCCAATATTTTATAAAAGGACAAAACAAATCGAACTTGATTGTCGTTTAATTCATGAGAAATTCAAGAAAGAAACATCATAACAGAACGTGTGGGAAGCAAAATGTAGGTT